CGAATCGCGCGCGTTACATTGTGGCGAGTATCGTGGCGAGAAGTATAAGTACGTATATATAAATATATATATATATATATATATATATATATATTTATATATACGTACTTATACTTCTCGCCACGATACTCGCCACAATGTAACGCGCGCGATTCGTCCGATATAATAAAATACGCGTCGCGGTCGTCGCCGGTTATAAACGTATACGTGCATAACGCGCGCCGTCGGTACCGCGCGCATGGTGTGCGTACCGACGACGCGCCGCGGTTCGACGTGTGTAATATACAAATTGGATTTATCGTTCGTGTCGCGCTATAGCGGGCCGTCTCTCGCCCGCGTTTTTTTTTTTTTTTCCTCTTCTTTTTTTTTTTATGTATATACATATTTCCTTCCCCGCCCCCTCCCCCGCTCCCGTTCCGAACGCCGCGGTCGTCCGTACGCGCGCACCACGTACACAGTGTACAACACACGCGCTGGCAATCGGTCCGGCCGATCGGCGACTATACTCGCGTTACTTTTTTTCCTTTTTTTTTTTTTTTTTATTCGCGTTTCCCCTCCCCCGCCCCCGCTTTTTTTTTTCATTCCAACTCCCGCGCGCCACTCCTTCCCCCCCCACCCCCCCTCCCTACCCACGGACCGTCGCCGATGTCGTCGTACGGCAATTATGTACCCCGGCGAGTGACCGCGCGCGGACTTTCGAAATGGGTTACCGCGGGCACACCGAGGGCGGAATACTGCGCGTACGTCAGCAAGTCTGCGGGCATTAGAGCCGCCGTACGCAACCCGCCCAGTGACTCGGTTGTACGGGATCGGTCGGAATCCGCTGTACATCGCGCACGCGTGTACAGTTGTATAGTTACGGTATACAACCGTAGTGAGTGACGGTTATCTCGGATTTCCGTTTGTCGAATTTACACATTTTCGAAAACCGTACGCGGACCGCAGAACCGCTATCGTAACCGATAAATGGTAATTTAACAGATTTCCCCGGGCGCGGTCATACACCCGCGTATAATGATGTCGATGAAAAAAAAAATAAAAACGATCAGCGCGTAGATTTCGTCGCATTTTTCCGGTTAAAAACGATCGCGACGTGATGTGCCGTGACCCGGCCGTCGATAAACTCCGACGTTGCAAGTGAAATGCGTTTACCTAAAAAGGCGGCTCACAGTTGAAGATTTGTTGATGTTACAAGACAAACGAAATAGAATTTATTTGTTGATTTGCTGGAACATGACCTCGGCGATGCGAACGGGGGGGGGGGACAGTATTAATATTATTTAATTAGATTGCCACAGACAAAAGAATAGTAACATTATTAAAACGATTAATTACCGCGCGACAACGATTAACTGTAAAAGGATAACAATCGAAACGGGGAGTCACGTTAAATTGCATTCGTTTTCGAAAGGATTAAGCCCGGGAAATATCGGTTAATTCGGTTGTATTTTTAATTTGCTATATTGACGAAACGTCGCTAAAACAACCGTCTAACGTCCGTTAGATAGAGACCCGGAACAACATGTTATTGTCGTAACCGCAGTCTGTTGATTTATTTCAACGGGAAACTTGAAATCACGATTACGGATTAAGTATACAACGCATGGTTATTACTTATTCATCTTCTCCCCCTCACGTTTCAATCAATATGATCGGTTTTCCTGTATTTGCCGCAGATCCCTATGCTTCCCATTCGCACAATCTAATAATTCCTATCGACCTTTGTAACTGCGCAGTGCTTTATTGTAATTATTTCTTTCGTGCACCTCATTCTCGGTCTGCTATTTCTTATAGGTGTGGGGTGGCCTTCTACGTCTCCTTCTGTGAACGCTTTTCATCGAACTACCGCGACGCAGTAGATGTCCTATATCGTTTGTAAAATGTCGGAGTTCTTGTTTTTCGTTTATTCTGTTCACTAATTTCCACTGCAAGTGTATTGATTTTTCTGTCCGTTGAATCATAAACGCATTTTTCACTAGCATCACGTTTCAATAAACGCGCACATTTCTCTTCCGTGTCGATTGTTTGTGTTTCGCCATATTCAGCGCGCATATACATATTATATACTTTCAGGAACATTTCTTTGTCCGTAAAGTCATTATTTGCGGCCAGTAAACGATTTTTATTCCGAGAAGCCGCGGTCTTATGCGCTAACAATAAATTGTTGAATAAAAAAAAAAAAAATTCCAAATAAGTCGATATTAAATTCGTCTTCTCCGTCGCTTTTTATACTTCTAATAAAGTATAATATATTATACGGCCCAGCGTCACGCACAGAGATTAAATCCGACTTTCCCCGGGATTGTTAAATGTACTGACGCGTTTAAGCCGGGTGAACGATAAATTATTGAATTTACTGTACCCACTAGAAAAATATCGTCTTCGGAACGATTCAATAGCCCAGTAGATAATATATAACAATTAACGCACGAGTTAAAAACGCCTCGGAGCGGTAAACGCGCCGTTGGTGATAAGAATATCCACCTATTCGTTTAGTAGCTCTCTCTATATATATATGTACAAATCTAAACCGTTCGGCAATTTAATCGTGCGATAAATGGCTGGTGCTTTGTAGAAAGAGATATAATTTCCCCATTTCGGTTTCAAAAACATACGAAAAGAACTTCGAACAACTACAGAAAAACAGAGGTGAAAATGTGATGTAGCAAATCGATACAGTCCATTTACATTGCCCTACACGATATTTTAGATTACGAACATAGCGTAGAATTTATCGGTTTTTATTATGCGATGAGGTTCCACAAACTTTTCTACCGGAAATCTTCATCCGATTAAAAAAAACAATTAAGGAAGTAATTTGTTTTTTCATGTTTTCCTTGTAGTTTCCTTAGATGAATCCCAAGAGAAAACGGGCAAACCGTTTCTGTCATTTTCGGTTCTGTTTTTTTGTTGTTATTCAATTAAAGAAAATAACCGCGGAGACCCGAAAGTTTCGCCGAATATATTAGCATTTTTTTTTTTTTTTTTTTTTTTGTGCTATTTAAAACGATTTAAAATTGTCGAGTCGAGGTTTTCAATTCGGTTTTATTTTTATGTGGGATAACAAAGTAAAAGTTTTCAAACGCCTTGGGGTTGAGCTAAAATTTCTAGGGGCGTTTGAGATTGTATCTCCCCCTATTCGCTAGAACATACAACAGCTGCGAGTATTTACGTAGTATTTCTATCTTGAAATTATATATGTCAGTCGAGTTACAGGGAAAAAGCTTGTGTTTATCGAAGGAAAATTGGCTTTTTCGTATCAGACTGTTGAGTTCTCATTGTCCAGTTAGATACTTAACAGAAAACGATTCTACGATTTATTCATGAATCACGATTATTATTTACAACACGTCTTCACCCATTAAAAACGCGAGGGCACGGTACATTGACTGACACACCCGTTAACAGTTTCAGCCCGTTTTTATTATTTTTTTTTTTTTTCATTTAATTTACCGGGCTATAAATATATATATCGGCCGCGGTTTATTGGTTATTTATTGTATAGATTTCCGAATTTGCTTCCAAATAAGACCGTTTTACATACCTATATGTATGTAAATATCAACTGTTAAGAACCATAATATTACACGAAGGAGATAACCGGTTCGAGACCGTGGAAAATAATAATATTATTATTGGAAATCTGTATACTGAAATCAGAAATCGGTTATTATTATTTTATATTTATTTTTTATTTTTTTTTTTTTGTCGATACACAACCACCGGGAATCGTATTAATTTTGTTTTTTCACACCATCGCTATGCACTTTGGGCTGTAAAATATAATATCGTAATTACTAATCGCCGTTTCGGTTTCCAGATATATTATTATACAGAAACTCCCGGTGTTTCTTTCGCGTTTTATGGCCGCTCGATTCCACGAGTCTTTGTGTCCATAATAAACGTGTAATATATATGGTAAATACAAAAAAAAGTAATAATAATAATGTAATTTCTCGTACATATAATCGAAAACTCAACCGGAACACATACGCGTAGGTATACGAGATAAATGTAAATTATAAACAATAATCAATATCATTGCCGTGTGCGTTATAATAACATTATGTAAATTACGATGTTTGTATTATAATCTATACGCACTGAGCGACAAACTGGATTCGCCCGAGTTATGTCCGATATAAAATGTTCGAATGTCGATTTTAAAAACGAGCGCAGAACCGTATTTTACGTAAACGAGGGCAATAATAATTGATGGTGCAGGCGCGGCGACAGACGGTGGTGGGACGGACCGTTTCACTCGCCAAAAGTGTTAAACTAAAAAATCGAACACGACTAGCGATAATCATTTGGAAAACGCGTGTTGAGAATTTTGAAAAATTTTTCAAATTATCAAGTACCGTCGAGCGGATAATCCGCGTCTTTTGAGTTGAGGCGTGAATAAACCGGAGCAGTTTTGCCTACTGCAAAAAAATGTTTTCCAAAGGAAAAAAATAAAACAGAAATAGTGAAATGAATAACTTATTTGCTACACTCAGAATCCCGCGGGCCCGTTTACAGTATTTTTTAAATCTTTTTACAGATTCCGGGCGAAGCGAGGAATTTATAGGTTTTGGTATTCTTTTTTTTTTCATTCTTTTTATTATGTAAATAGCTTTTCTACCACAACTCTTGCTCCTTGTATAGGAACTTTCATATAGAAATTTTGATCTAGTTTGTGGATATTGAGGATATTACTTTTTGTGGTTTTCTCTATTGAAGAACTGCCAATTTCGTTTGATTTCTGGGTTTTTTTTTTTTGGCAACAAGGGAAAAATATGACTGTCAGTCTTCTGCTCAGAATCGTTTTTCGTTTTAACGGTCAGATACGTTGCGTACAGATACAAATTAAGTTACTCCGTAGGTATATCCCAACGTTGTAACTTCCTTTCAAAATCAGTGGAAAACCTATTTATTTTTTTTTTATAGGGTCAACGTTATTTTTGTTTTTCAAATTTATGTAGTAGTATTGTCGCTCGCGGCACAGTCATTGTTTTTGTATACATATTCCACGAGCATTCCGTTAGGCAACGTATTTTACGGCGACTGAAAGTTCCGCCAGGTTTCGGTCACGACCAAAGTCGTGGACAGTGATAATAGCGGATAAGGTAGTCAACTCGAGTTCAGATACATAAAATA